CCACTCCCCCCACCCCCAAGCAGCTCCTTGCTGGAGCAATCCAGGAAGTGCTGAGAAAAACTTCGATAGTGAGCGGAGGCAGAGCAAAATCCTGGACTTTTGTTGATATTTAAAAAAAAATGCCTGAACAGAGATGGGAGGACCCAAAAAGAGGACATGTCTGGGAAAACCCAGATGTATGGTAACTCTAGCTAAGAGATTAGAATTTCTTCCTCTGTGGAGAATTTATCTTAAATCAGCAGACATAAAACCTTGCTGCAATCATATATTTAAACTAACCAACATTGAGAAAAAATGCTATTGGCATAATCCATTTATTTCAAATGAGGCAAATGAGTCATATTTCCAAGATGCCATGCTCAGTACTCTAAAGCACAAGACTGACTGGGCTGAGGTAAACCAGAATTATATTCTTCACTTCACCCCTGGCTTCCTGAATGACCTGGGGAAAGTTCATTTACTTTCTCTGGGCATGTCCTGTTGAGTGTGCATGTGCAAAGGCCTGCATTTCCCATGGGACAAATAGCAGAGGCACATGCTATTTGTCCCTGGGCACGTCCCTGCACATGCACTCTGGCAAGTGGCAAAGTGACCTGGGTGGGGTATGGGAGGCTGGGGCCAGCACAAATGCTGGCCCCAGCAGCCTTACTTGGGGTCCTGGGGGCCTCCTACAGCAGCAGAAGTGCCGAGCTAGCCACTCAGAGCCTGGTGGGCAGCCAGAGCATAGCTCTCACCAGCCAGACTCCAGTTTCCGGCAGCACATGATGCTGCTGCGTGTGCCCCCCTTTTTTAGCAGCGTATTTTGTTGACACCGGGATTTCCCAGTGTAAAAAAAACCCCCATTGCACTGCAAATTGCTAGTGCAGTGAATGGATGCACATGCACCATGTGCAGTTTGTGGTGCCTCAAACAGGTTTGAAGTGTGTGCTTGTTGGGATGCACCCTCTGACCACATCCAAACAAGCGTGGCCATGTGGTATGTCGTGCTGCAGATGTTTCCTGTGCTGCTACCTTGCCGAGGGGGGGGTGGAATCCAGGGGTCAAAAAAACCTGCACAGAAAAAAAATTGGGGTGGCACGTGTGTGGACAGTGTGCATCACCCAAAACCAGAGTTTGGCTGGCCAGAGCCACACTCCGGCAGCCAGCCAAGCTCCAAGCTGCAGAAGCAACTCAGTGGCAGCTTCCCTGGACCCCAGAACCCTAAGTAAAGCTGCTGGGGCCAGCAACTGTGCTAGCCCCAGCCTCCGCTATCCAACCCAGGATAACCTGCTGTGTGCCAGAGGACACATGGGACAACTAGCAGGGGCACAAGATATCCCACTGCTAGTTGTCCCCAGGAAACCAAACATCTCATTTGGACATGGTCTCTGTGTCATTACTAGTCTTTAAAGTGCTCCTACCCAATTAATTTCCAAGATTTGGGAAACATTTATCAAATGCTTTCTATTACACAGACATGTGGCTTCTGTGTTTCGTAAACCATTAGCTTTCTAATTTTATTTTTAAAGACCATTTAATCTGTTGCAGTACACAAAAGATCTTCCAGCTTAATCTCAACAAGTGAGAATCATAAATAGACAAGATGACAAGAGGGGGAGGGGAAAGAGTGCAAGGATAAGAATACAATTACAATGTCATCCAGTTATTTAACAAAGAAATGCACATACTACACACACACACACGCACATACATATGTGTGCATATGTATGATTTGATGCATGCAAAATAAGTTAGTTTAACACAGTGGTTCTCAACCTTTTTAGGGTCAAGGTACCCCTTGGAAAATGCCAGTCCTTAGCTTTCATTCATTTTTTGACTACAGAAAAATAATAGAGAAATTCTTCTGTTAAAAAGAACTCAGAAAGACTACAGTGGGTTAGAATGTTTTTGACACTATGGATTTCTATTTGAAATCTCTGAGTTAATTTAGTGAATCATGGGTAGTTGTTTCCATCCTGCAACACCCTTGAAAGGATCTCCCTACACTCTGGTTGAGAATCACTGGTTTAATAGATCTCTTTTCTTATTGGGTAAATTTTCAACCACATTTTCCCTTTAGGGCCACTGGAAGTGCATTTAACATGTCTATTTCTCTATCAGGCAGCAGTTCAGAAAGGGTTAGCTGCATTGATGTATAGATTGTAGATTGCTGGATAGAAAATGCATTCTTTGAGGAATGTGTTCCTTTTACACGTCTTTGATTAAATTGTAGTTAAGGTGTAATTTGTCTCCCTTTGGTAGCATGTAATAATATACTTGTAAATTAATTAGAATTTGTTAAGAAATGATGGAGACACTGGCAGGAAGACACTATTTAAGGTTAAGTCAAATTTAGCATTTAAAATAATAGATAAGGAGACAAAGTTTCCTAGCAGACAAATTACAGTCAGATTAAGCCTGATCACAGGCATTTTTTTTTATAGATTTCATAGACATTAGGGCTGGAAGGGACCTCGGAAGATCATCGAGTCCAGCCCCCTGCCCAAAGGGCAGGAAGTCAGCTGGGGTCATAGGATCCCAGCAAGATAAGCATTCAATTTGCTCTTGAAGGTGTTCAATGTAGGTGCTTGAACCACCTCCGACGGCAGGCTGTTCCAGACCTTGGGGGCTCGGACAGTAAAGAAATTCTTCCTTTTAGAAAACACTTGTTATGTAAACACATTTAATACTACTGAAGGCAAGTTCCTTAAATTGAATATAGTTCTTGGCTGTGGACCTATTCCATTTACCTTAATGTTGTAGGATACAATTCACTGTTCACGAGATACACAATTTCAAAGGCCATGGTGATTCCCAGTCTTCCCAGTGTGGCTACTGAGGTTTTCAACCACTTGATATCTGTTAATAAGGTACATTCAAAAAGAAACCTTGATGAAATATGCTTAACTGTGTTAGTTGGGTATTCTGTATCTGATTCTGATCTCACTTATATGGGCTTTAAATTGGTGCCAGAGCACTGGTTTTATCTCAGTTCATTCCTGGTTTGCATGGATGTAAGTAAACAGAAGCAAACACCAAAGTCCCTTCATGGTTAGTTTTGAAGTGCTGCAACATTCACAAGACACAAAGGACAAATAAATATATGAAGACTGCTTCCAAATTTGAAGACCAAGAAGATATTAAAATAGCCACTAGCAGCATCACTCCCATATAGCCATAGGTACAGGGAGAATTCTCGTTTTGACTAGATAGCAAACAAAGGACTTTTCCAAGAAGAGTGAGATCCTAAGATTTAGTGATCAAGTTTTGGTTTGGTTTTTTTTGGCCAGTACTAGGGGTCTTTCATTGAAAACTGATCAAAGAATGTATTCTTCATACAACACATAATTAGACTGAAGAACTTCTTGCTACAGGAACTGAGAAAAAGGCTCAAAAAGCATTTCAGTGGCCAATACAAATACCCAGAGTTATAATAGTTGATGTTAACAAAAAGTTCAGAAGATCACATTGAACTTTGCGGATTAACTGATCTCAGTTACAAATGACAATGACTCCTAATGTATGGGGCAGACTAAGTGGCCTCTGCCTCCTGCTGGGGTCTTATACCTTCCTCTGAAGCTTCCGCGGCTGGCCGCTGTCATAGTCAGGGCACTACGCTATTGGGCCCTTGGGTCTCATTCAGCCTAGCAGGTCCTACTTTCCTGTTCGTGTGAAAATTAGCCCCAGAGTCCTGTCATCAATAATTATGTCAGAGCAACTCTGGGGCAGCTGCAAACACAATGGGAATAGAAAGGGCACCACAGCTGGATATTAGTGTGTAGTGGTGTCTGTGGGCTTTCCTTGTGCCAGACCTCTCTGAAGATGATTCCAGTTCATCAACACAGGGAACAAGTAGTGTCTAATGCCATGTATGACTGTGAAACATGGTTGCCAGGCCCTTACCATTACATCCAAATTGTGCAATCTTTTGCTACAGGCTAGCCAGGTTCAAGAATACTGGCTGCTGGGCTAGAATGCCATCATTACCTATACACGCCACTTTTTAAAATTCCCCTGCTAGATTTCCTAAATTAAACTATAATCCAAGTTAGAGTGAATATGCATCCTACCCACACCTGCCTCCCAAACAGAGCTGATCACAACATTCTCCTTTGAAATTTAACATACAATGATTTTTCTACTACAGGTGGTTTTTCAACAATCTCATAAATTTTGTAAGAGAAAAAGTATATCTTTGTTATGAAATGTTATAGGATGGTTCAAAAACCCTAGAGAAGGGATAATAATTGTCAATTGAATTAGATAAAAAGTTAGAGTAATTTTAAGAGAACCCTAGGAAATGTATGGAGATTTCCTGGCTAATCCTATAGAATCTTCTCTGTTAGGGACTCTATCACTAATCCATGAAAAAAATGCATCTGTTTTCTGCATTTTGCTTTCAAAAACCATTGGATAACATACATGCACAGCACTGGAGGCAGGGGCCAGAAAGCAGGGCTTCCCCCTCCCAGGGTTTATCCTCACTGGGCTACAGAATTAGGCTCCCTGTTGCTTGTTCTCCCTTTCACCCCATGACTCTTATAATCCTTGCTGCCTCCAATGGTCCCAGTACAATAGAAGGGATAGAGGGGTCTTTCAGCCCTGCTGTACCCACAGACTGGTGGCCAAAGCATTTTCCTGGGAGGTTGAAGATGTATGTTCAAACCCCTGATGGGCAAGAGAGAATCTAGAATTCAGGTCTCCCACTTCCTAGGCAAGTGTCCGAATTATTGGCCTGTTGGTTGAAAGGGGATTGGGTCTTCCTCCTCCAGTGTAAGATGAAGGTGTATGACAAATATGGACACATTGTCAGTTTTTCAGGGTCTCAAGTAGAGTAGAATGGGATTGCACGCGTGAAAGCCACCTAAACACCACTTTAGACATTCTACCTAATAGGTGGAATAGGATACGGTTGGTGGTGTTATTTTAAAGTAACTTTTGAATCCACCTCTTAAAAAAGAGGCTAACTGTGATGAAACTGGTCTGACCATTGAACTTCTACTGTACCTGCAAAACCCACCAGATTTCTTAGGCTAATACCTCTGAGGTGACAGACAGTGGCTTTTCACAGATTCTTTTTGAGAATAGCTCCCTGCTATTTGTTGTTCTATATTTGCTAGAGCTGACACCACTAAAGGTAATCAGTATTTACCACATTGTCTGTCCTGCTGCTGATGTCCTCAAGCAGGGATAATCCTTTCTGATGCTAATTTGCAGGGATAATCCTTTCTGATGCTAATTTAACATCCAGCATAGCTCAGTTTTGAGGTAGTCCGAAGGCAAGAGTGGAAACTGCACAGTCATGGCAAGATGCCTCGTTCTCTGACCACTTCCAATATACAACACCTCTGAACACTCCCCCCAAGAGGTACACTTTGCAGAAACCAATTATATTCACATCATCACACTTGTGAGATACCAGTTTGTAGAAAAGAATCCATCTTCAACGAGGCTGGAGCTACATCCTCTCCCCTTTTGCACTACCAAGTGGTGATTTCCCTTGTGGAGGGGAACCCCTGTGTACTGCATGGTCAGGATTAGCCAGATCTATGCTACCTGCTCCTGGATCTGCACCATGAGAGGGATTGGATAGGTCAAGCCAGCAGCAGGCAGAGCATACTCCAGGAATATCAGGGCAGTGGAGTGACCTGTTACTCTTGGCAATGGCAAAGTTTTGGCACCAGATAAGCCAGGATTGAGCAACAGGAAATTGTATACTATAAATGGATTCATTTCTTAGGCATTGGTTTATTTGGAGGTGGCCCAATAATCCCTCTCTCCCATCTAAAGTACTCATTTTTACCTGTATAACAAATACCTTCCCCACTACAGAGTGTATTATGCCCTTCTTCATGCACTAGAGATTCCTCTGGTTAACAAATTTCTGCAGGTGCCCATTGGGCAAGGAACTGAGCTTGGTGGCCCATGACGTCTCCTCTAGTCCTATGTTCTGGGGCTTTCATTATCTGTCTTTTAATACACTACAATTGGCTTTTTACTTTGATCTACACCTGCAAAATCTTTGCGTGGCTTCCTCCTTTCTAATCTGGGATAAATCACACACCTTGAGGACCTAAGGAAAAAGTTACCTTCTGGTAAGAGCGCAGTAATTAAGCACGCCACTCCTGCCACTATATTGCTTATCACAAAAGGGAGGCGCCGGCCAATGCGATCGATTGTCAGTAAAATCAAGAGAGCTGCAGGTAATTCCACAGCTCCTGAAATGAAAAAGTCGAGGTAGAGGTTTCCTCCTGCAATTCCTAGGCGCATGACCAGCCCTTGGTAAACCAGGGCACTTGTGAACCTAAGCAAAAGAAAAGAAAATGTTGACTGTAAGCAGCTGGCTTGACCCTGAAAGACAAGAATCACAATACCAGGATAAAAAAAAAATGATCTGAGAACATGATAAAATGGGGACTTACCAGGCATACATAAGAATCAGTGTGTATCGTCTCATCTGGGGAGTTCGGACCAGATCAAAGAATGAGGGATTAGTAACCTCTTCATTGGTAACTGTAATCTGGAGAGGGAAAGCAGGCCTCAGAATCAGCTGTCAGTAAGCAGGAAAGGGCACCGTAGCTTATTTAGTACGAGAAAATGGTATTCGTTGACAGTCAGACAGAACTAGGTGATTTGATTCAAAATCCTTTTAACTGTTTTTAGCACACTGGAGCCCCCCCAGCTATGTGGGAGGGCTTACAATTTAAAGCAACTGTTGATTGTTCAGCTACTTAAGGACTTTCATGAAGCTAATGCACAAGTCAGAAAAATACAGCTTGATTTTCAAAAAATGAGTTGAGTTTTCAGCACTGGCCAGCAGAAGAAAAAGGTTTACTCATAAATGGAAAAAAGCTGACACACAAGTCCCCTAAAAACAATCAACATGGCACCCCCACAATGCCGACTCCACAATTATTTCCAAAGTGTAACTTTAAGGGTTACTGAAAGGAGACGTTTGAGTGAGCGTTCACAGACGAACAATAGCATTGTGGTGAGTGACAGCAAAAATAAGAGGAATGTGGAGAAGCAAGAATGAGCTGGACAGAGCAAACAACAGTAACTGGGGTGTTTTCTGTTTTTGATAATGTAACTCAGTAGCCAGAATGAAAGTTGAGAAAAGGATGTGGCCAGGAAGTGAAATGAAGTGGAAGAAAACATCCCAAAGATACACATAGGCCCAAGTTGAACAAAGCATGTGAAGAGGTGCTTAGATAGTTGAAGTCAAGGACTTTCCAGAGTGTACCCCCTTCTACAGGATACAGCATATACAGGACTTGGCCACGGTCTTAAAGGACGCATCTACACATTTCCCCGCTACATCACCATACAGCATGCTACAGTGACAGAGTGATCGTGTGGGTCTACATGTGATTGGCAGCTAAGGAAGTACTAAAGCATGTCACTGTAGCAACATTGCAGTACGGCAACATGTAGATGTGCCCCAAGTGAATCCACAAAAGAACTCAGCAGTAAAACCCAGGAGGTCTGGCTGAGATTTCCAATAAGAGCAAGGGAATTAGCTGCTCATCTTCAGCAGCTGAATCCCCTAAACAGCTCAGACCACATATCTCCTGTTTTAGCCATTCAGTAGCAATTATTAACTCCTTACAAAACACAAATCAAACCAGGCATAAGAAAATAAGGAGAGAGAGATGTGGATTGTGAGGAGAGAGAAAGGAGCCTCTTTCCCATCTGTGCTATGAAGTCATTTTTGTTTTTTGTAGTGGGAAAACGGAGCCAAAGGGAATGGAGAGTCATAATGTTCAGTGACAAGAATAGTAAATAGGACCAAAGGGTATTGCCAGGTAACCTGATTTTTGTTCAGCTAAGAACACATGCATGGATTTTCTTTATTGTATTTATTGTTCATATCACAGTTATAACCTAAACTTTTCAGTGAGATAAAGAGAACATCAGATCTGGCATTTACTGGGTCAGACCAGAACTCTATCTCGCCCAGTATCCTTTGTCACACACTGGCAGAAAGAGGGGATGTTTAAGGTTTTTCCCCTGTTCCTCTCTCATTTGCAGGTTTTGACTGGACACATCAAAACACATCTTTCAGCAAAAGACTGGCCAAAAACCTTGGACTATCCTGGGCCTCAATTCCCTCCCACCATTGTTAGGAGCCATTTGCTCCCCCCTTTATAGCACCTTTGCTTTTCTTTCATAACCAAGCTAGAAAAGTCCTGCAACTTTTGCTTCAAGATTTGGTTTTTTGGGGAGAGTAGGATTGGTGGGGCTGGGGGGAGGCCACTCTTCATTTGGTTTGTCAGGCTTGTCTGAATCTTCTCAGGAAGGGTGATAAAGCTTCTGTGATATTGTTTGTTAGAACATGTTGCCAGTGACCAGTGTCTGAACCTTCTGCAAATGTGGTTTTGATTTTCCCATGCAAAGATAAGTTCAACACTGCTGCTAACACGCAGCTTGTGTCTTTCTCAAATGTCACAATGCCCCATAATCCAGAGAATGGCTTATGGGTTAAGGAGAAAGGACATAAACATCACTACAAAAAAATCTTAAGCTTCACAGGCTGGTATCTTGGCCTCACTGAAGTTAGTGAGAGTTTACCATTGCAGTCAAAATTTCACTCTCAGGGTCTAGCTCTGTATGGCCTAAAGGCGTGTTATACCCTAACTGACCACCATATGCCCCTGATTGGCTGGGACAGTCCTGGATTTTGGAGGCTGTCTCTGTGTCCCAGCCATTAGAGAAAATTGGAGCAAAAGTCCCAGATTGGTGGGAACCCATCGGCACGTGCCTGGGTTCTGAGTCAGGAGCCAGGCACATGTGCCACACCAGCCCAGGGCTTTTGCTTCAATTTTCTCTAGCGAGCTGAGCCAATGGGCTACTCCCTGGTCTGGACTCCATTCGGATGTGAGCAGATTTGCTTGCACAATAGAGTCAGGGTTGGGACTGAGGTGTGTGCAGGGAGCTGCAGTGTTGGGGCTATGCATAAATGTGTTTGCACGTGCCATGTTCTCCTGTTCAGCCCTGCACCTGGGAGCAACGGGGCAGGGCTGCATGTCTTTCAAGGGGTGGGTGTTGCCCAGCTGTAGGGAGAAAGTTGCTCATGGGGCATTATGCTCGGCTGTGGCCGTGGGCAACCTGTTTCTGCCCAGTTTTGATCCAGGGACCTTTCATGTGTTAGGCAAATGTGTTCACTGCTACACCACAGAAACACAGGCATAGTCCCACCTCAGCAGGCAGTCCTACTGCTCCTCCTTCTCTGCTCCCCACCTCCCACAGCCTGATGGGGACCACAAGGCTGCTGGCTACCACATGACCTCATGCCCACCTACTTTGGCTATGCCTGCTGCATGGACAACACTTGTGTGCCGCTGTGCTGGGCCTTGCCTTCCAGAGCTCAGCTGCTAGAGCACATGACTGTAAGCCACCGTGGGTCAGCTGGCAGAGTGTTGATCTGCCAATACAAAGGCTAAACTCCTCAGTTTTGCTTCCTAAACAAGCTTTTCCCTGATGTTTCTTGTGTCCTCTTTACTGTTCAACCTGAAACCCTGGGTCCTGTTTAAGTACACAGAGAAAGAGAGAGAGAGAGAGAGCCTGTATATGTGTGCACATGTGCACGTCATGCTGTCATGCCTGGCCCAAACCCTGAGAGCTGAGGAGTTGGGGTGTGTGTGTGTGTGTGTGTGTGTGTGTGTGTGTGTGTGTGCGCACGTGCGCATGCATACTTATGCATACTGGCACCCCCCAGCACTCCCCACCCCTCATCCCAGATTTCCCTCAAATTATTATGGTCACCCAATCTAAAGAGCAAGGTTTTATCTCTCCCCCCACCCCCAAGGTATCCCATCAAATTGTACTTCAGTTTTTTTGCAGTGGTTTTAAAAATTACAATAAGCTAAGGTCCTGATACTGCAAAGAAACATCCATATACTTAACTTGTATGCAGTGGACAGTGCAGGATGGCACCTTAGGATGTCTTTACATGTGCTCCAGGTGGAGGGCAGGGGAAGGCACTTTAATTAAAACAACTCCAAGAGCTGAGAGAGCCACTCTAATTAAAGCACCTGTAGTGTCACGTGTATTCAGGGTCCCATGCTTCAAAATGGCAGTGGGGACACTGAATACATGTGACACAGAGGATGCTGGGGTGTGCTAATTAGCACAGTCCAGCAGACATCCAGCATGTTTATAGGTGCCTTTAGAGACTAACTTGTTGAGAAAGGCATAAGCTTACATAGACAACAGCCTGTTTCTTCAGGTGCTATTTTATGCACCTGAAGAAACAACCCGAATTTAGCTTCATACAACATTCAGTTTTCTGGTATCTGAAGGCTAGTGAAAGTCAAAACCAGTAATTTTCAAAGAAGTCATACAAAAATCTAGAAGTCTTGGTTCCAAAATGATACCTTTTACTAGATCAACTGGGAAATCACCAGAAAATTGTCCTTTTAGGGGACATGGACATTAAAGCTGTGCAAAGCTTCACTGGCTGTTTTGTTTTGATGCTGTTTTGACTAATTTCAAGCTCAAAACAGTGAAACTGAAATGAAACAAAGGGCTGCGAAACAGCCTCAAAACAAAATGAGGCTAGTCGAAACATTTTGAAAGTTTCAAAACAGCCAGCCAGGTGGTGGGAGGCAGGGGAGAGCCAAGGCTGTGCTCTGAGTGGCTCCGCAGCCCCATGCAGCTCAGCCCGGCATGGAGCACAGCCCTGGCTCTCCCCACCTCCCACCATGGGGCTGCACTTTGTGGGGCTGGTGGAGCTGACGGAGCCCAGTGCTGGCTCTACCTGCCTCCCATCACTGGGCTGCACTTGGATCGGCTCTGCTAGCCCCATGGAGCTCAGCTGGGTGGTAGAAGGTGGGCAGCCTGGCTGGGGGAAGCGGCTCCATCTCCCACCACTGGGTTTAGTTTCACAGGGCTGTGAGATGCTGGGAACTGAGCCCGACTGCAGGAGCCTCTTCCCCCAGCCAGGCTGAGTTCCCCAGCACTGGGAACTGAGCCAAGAGGTGGGAGGCGCTTCCCCCAGCCAAGCTCAGTTCCTCAGTGCTGGGTCTCAGGTGGCAGGAGCAGCCTCCTGTCATCCAGCAGGTAGATAGGGGGCCACCCACATCCCCAGAAGGGCTCTGCCAGACTCCTCCCAGGGGTGCAGGCCTCTGATCTGCCTGCTGTTTCACAGAGGTCTAATGGACATCTAAGTCTTTTGATTCCTTTAAAAATCGTAGCCAATATCTATTTGTGTCACAATGGATTTTTTTTCTCTCTCTCTGGCTGCCCATGTATCAACTTTCTCTATATTGCTAGAAGTAGTTAGCTGAAGGATAATTTTTCTGTGAGTAAATTTGAAAAGTGCCCTTGATCCCTATTAATACACTTCCTGAAGTTTGCTCTTCCTACTGGGCACAAAACCAGGAATGACAGAAGTTGTATATCCAGAAAGTTCCAAGAACAAATCCAAAGTGCAGCTAAGATATTACTAAAGGTTAATCACTTGCAGCTGTGAATGAACTGGGGCCATTATCATGGCTATTTCTTAAAAAAAATAAGCTGTGCTCTTAAGAGGCTATTGGGAAAAGCTACCCGGCTACATAGTTAGGGCAAAGCTTCAGAACCTAGAAAGAAGAGTTGAATTTGAACAACTGAGTCATTTACTTTCTTCCCTTTCTCTCATTTGTTTTGGCACTTCATTTTCTCTTGCTTCAACTTACAGTTCTCTAATTTCATGAGATATAACCTAGTTAGCAAGCTCACTCCACTTTTGGGGCTGGGCTGGGGCTGAGACTGACACAATATTGGCCCACATCACAGAAATGTCTTGGTCTGTATCGGAGACTTGTTGTTGGCCTAGCCTCTTGCTGGTCATCTAGACCTCTTCCAACCCAATGCTTTACTTATCTGTAACCACGTTGTTGCAGTTTCACCCTGTTTCATGGTCAAGTAAATGAACATCCTGGTATATAATTCCTCCCCTTTGTCATTAAGAAAATGTAAAGTTTATAAAGGTAATGAACTATTTATAGAAATTAATTGTCCATTTCAATGCTTTTTTAAATTAGTTTTTTATTCTAACAGCTGTGTTATTGTATGTAGCTTGTATGAGGGTTAAAACAGAAGCAACCCAGGCTGTATATAGGCTTTGTAGCTGATTCAATTAAATTTCTTCTTGTAAATAAAATTGGATAAACTTTTCTGTTTTTGTCAGGGATAAGAGAGTGACTCAAAGGGATAAAAGCCCATCTTCAAATTTCCTCCAGAGTTATTCTGTCAGGCATTGGTAACACATTTTCTGCTAAACCTAAACTAACTTCCTAAGTCCTCTCTGGTTGATGGAAGACCCACCTGTGACAAGGCAACTCTGAATTTCTAGATGCTTCAGACTGTGCCCTTGGCCAATCTGGACACAACACCAAGACATTGCATTGGTAGATAGTTTCTTGCCAATGAATGAAGACTGGGTGCTACCATTGTTAGATCCACCAGTAGCTTTTAATACTGTTGATCATTGGGAGCTGCTGGCTCTTCTGTGGACCACATCAGCAGGTGGCAGTGTTCCACATAGTTCTTTCTTGCTGACCACCCCAAGTGGCATGTGTGGAGGTGGCTTAGGGCTCCTCCTGTCTGAGATGTTCTTGTGAGAGCTGAGAGAGGATTTCAACGTGTCGCCCCTTTTGTTTAATAGTTGTAAGTTGAAAGTATAGATTCATAGATCAAGGGTCGGAAGGGACCTAGTAGATCTTCTAGCCCAACGCCCCGCCAGGGCGGGAGAACAACAAAAAACCCCAAAAAGAGAAACGGGACTCAAATGAGTCCAGCCAGGTAGGCATCCAGCCTCTTCTTAAAGACCCCCAGGGTAGGGGCCAGCACCACTTCCCTTGGAAGTTGGTTCCAGCTCCTAGCCGCCCTAACTGTGAAGTAGTTTTTGCGGATGTCCAATCTAT